AAAAGTGAAGTTTTTTACCTTGTAAGAAAACAAATGGTCTCTGTGTCAGAAGCAAGGCGAGCAACAGAAGAAAAAGAGAAAGAGGAAGACGAAAGGGGATGAAGCTCTTGTCGCTGACAGTAAGAGCCGCTTGGAGAGAGCATCAGCGTAGAGGAAGATAGAGAGAGAGGCAGAGAGAAAGAAAGAGTCGGAGAGAGAAAAATTCAAGAAAACGACAAAATACATAAACAAAAACTTTGAACAGTGAAATGTGAATAAGTGCACAGTAAGCAAACTGTGCTTTCTCATACAGTTACTAGTTGGAGCCCACGTACTTAGCACGTGTGAGGCTCAATATGAGAGTTACATTTTTTATTTAAAGACTAATTTTGAGTTCTTGAATTCCATTATAAAAATATTATTTTATTATTTTTATTTTCAATAAATAAATGGCGAGTAAAAAAAATAAATTTATTTTGTAAACATGATAGGACTATGTTACTAGGAATAAGTATTCTAACATAATTACAACCAAGTCAATTCATGGTCATTACAGAATGAATTCAAGCAGTCCCAAATTTTTATTGCCTTACAAGTCATAAGTAGCATGTTAAATAATGAATTTTAAATGGCGGACATCACATAACTAATTTTGAATATTCATATTCTTGTGTCATCTATGGGTCAAACAAAAACATTCGAATTTTTATAGTAACATCCAAGATTAAACCAAAAACCAGTATTTAAGTCATTCAAAGACAACCATTAAAGCTATTTGAAGGAAAAAAAGAAAAAAAAGAAAAAAAAAAAGAAACTTTCATTCCATGGCAAATGAACAGTGATACGTTAGTCCTCTAGAAGTGTATTTGACAAGCGCATTGAATATGCACATTGAGCAAGAATATTTTATAATGGCATTAAAGAAGTATGTTCGGTCAGCATATTTAGCATGCATATTCAATAAAATCATTTTAATAAGCATATCCATTAATAAGTCAATTAGATAAAGCCATTCAGCAAACATTGAATAAAACCATATAACAAACCATTAAGTAGACCATTTAGCAAACCATGAATAAAACCATATAGCAAACCATATAGAAAATCATTTAGGGAACTAAAAAAAATACTAAAATGTATAACTTATTTGCCAACATATAGAGAGGAAGAAATAAGAAATAAGCTGAAGATGCAACTGCAATGATAAGGGAAAGGAGATAGAGTGGGCCTTGCGTGATCAGATGTGCAACAATCTTGCTGTCCCAGCTGTGTTCATTGAATAAATGTCAATCTGGTTCTAAAAATCTTGTCATTATCAGGGAAAAAAACACAACAATCAACATAAGAATTGCATCAGTTTTATGCACTCTAATTTTAACATATGACATTATGTATTTTTTCCTCAATTGCTTTGAAAGCTGGTTTGATTTCATCATTCTAGTCATGATATGAAACAATGCTAGTTATGTAAAAAAAAGAAAATGTAACCTTCTAATTTCCAAGATAAAATGTCTACACTAAATTTGACATTCCAAAATAGCAACAGCAATGAAAAAAGTTCAACTAACTGATAACAAAACAAAATCAACTTCATATCGCAAATGGAGTTAAACGCCCGAAGATTTTTCCCTTTTTTTTAATTTTAAATTACAAACATGTAAATCAAATCTGTAAATTGAGAGAAATAGTAGTTTAACTAATATGACATGACCTGTAGTTTAATGGGCTTAACACGTGAATTACCAAAAACAGGTTTAGCCTCAGAATTACCGTGCTAAATAAATACAACAATAAATAGATTTTTTATCATCAAGGGATAGTATTACCCAATTTTTATTCCATGGCATTTGTATCGACATAAATTCTTGACTCCACATCAGCTGTACTTGTATAATCTCTTGATAACAAGCGCTTGTTCATTGAGCTAACTCCATGCCGGTAAGGCCACATGCCACAAGCATGCTTGTCTTCCCTTGTCTGGTTATGATCACCAATAATAGCAGAAAAAATACCAGGCCTATGAAAACCTCCTATTATCATAACAAATTTATAGTGTTCGCAATACTTTTGTTTAAACTCATATTAAATGAGACTATTATTGAGATAATAAAAAAAAACAAACAAAACAAAAAAATCAGAAGCAAAGAAAGGACAAAATATGTTATGGATTTAGAATTAGGAATAAAGCAAAACAATATAATGAATGCAAAGATTAATATAAAGGTGTACGGCGTAATAATAAAGAAGAAAAGAATGGTGTGGTTGAATTTAATATGTATAGAAAAAACATCAACACAAGCATTTATTGATTTTAATATCAATGAGAAAGCATATATAATATCAATTAATAACAACACGGTTTATGAAGATATGGCTAATTAAACATGAAAGGATTGTAATGATCAATTAGAAGAGAATTAAAACTATGAGACCTTACAAAGTTAGATAACAATAAAAAAAAAATGAAAGTGAAATCACATTGATCAAGATGAATTAACACAGACATGGAACAAATCGAAAGCAATCAAAGTTAAATATAATAGATTTCATGAAAATCAATAATGTGGATTAAGATCGAGTACAAAATAAAAAAACAATCACAAGCGTTTAAACTAACAGATAGTGAACAACTATAGTAAAAAAACAAAAAAAAAAAACAAAATCCTATGAATCACAAACCAAAACAAAAGATGGAAAGAAGAAACAGATCTTAGAAAGACAAGGATGTACCTTAGCGACATTGTAATTTTCAAACGCTGGGTTCTTCACCAACGAGATTAAAAAAGAAACATCTTTAAGAGTTTTCAAAAATGAGAGATATACAAAGGAAACATATGAACCCGCCATAATTTGAAATACACTTTAAACCATCACAACAAACTCTTTTAAGACTTTTATGGATATTTTCTTTGTCCAATTAGAAAACAGGAAAATAATAAATAACATAAAGCGAGAAATGTCACGAATAGAATTTCTTCTTAAGGAGCATATGTAAGAAGAAATAATCAATGCTTATGGTCATAAAAACGTAATTAAACCTACATCTAAACTCATTAACTAATAATATTATAGTAGTTTTGTAGAAACAATTTTATGCAATAAAGCTATTCTACAGACCAAACCTCGATAGAGAAAATCGGGTAGAAAAATACCAGCAAAGAAAGAAATAAGGGGAAAAAAAGGCACTAAACTACAAAATTACTTAACGAAGGGTTTGAACAGTAAAAAGGGAAACTACAGTAAACGCATTACAATTTCGTATATATAGATAGATTTTCTCACATATTAGGCGGAAATTGCAAATCACAAATCCTAGTAAATAATTTTAACGCCCGACCAAACAAAACAAGAAACTGAAGAGAAAAAAAGGGCATAAAGCTGTTTCTTTCAAGCATTATTGTGCTATCAATTCAGCCAAAAAAAAAATTTATTGTGCTATCGTTACTTTCAGCCATTACAATTAACTTTTAACTGATGAATTCTAAAAGATCTTACCATACTAAG